GGCTAATACACCCTGGGTTTAGCTCCATCATCCCTTCCTTCCTTCTTTCCTTCCCTCCCTCCCTTCTTTTATAATAAATATCGCAGTGAGATGAGAGAGGGCAAGAACTCCTGCAGCAGCTCCCTGCCTGCATAATGCTGGATTTACTTATAAGCTAAACAAGCTATAGTTTAGGGCCCCACTCTCTTGGGGGCCCCAAAAAATTTAAAGGAAAAAACAACTGCATGTACGTTTCCAAAATATAAAAACAAATTTTTGTTATTGCCAAACGCCAATGTGTTTGCATTATTAAGTTTGTTATGAATAAAAAATCATTTTAAGTTAGAGATTATTTCACTATTAATATACTTCTTCTTAATTGTATTTCAGTTCAACAATTACTTTGATGAAATACATATTTTGTTATATGCAAATGGCTTTAGATATCATATATTCATCACAAAAAAACCAGCGACAATTTGTTGTTGACATAGAACAGCTGGACATATAAAAGGCCCCATTGCCTTCAGTAGCTTCGGGCCTTATCAAAACTAAATCTGGCCCTGCCTGCATTTGCTCATTTTTGAAGGGAAAATGAACCATAGCATGCTAATCTTTCATATGGGGAACTGTGTTCTGGATCCTGGTTAAGGCCAAAGCGTACTGAGGCTTATGTGTGTCAGAGAAACAGAGTTTATATTGAAGAGTTTTGTCTGCTTCATTTTAGTGCACCAATTAGTACACCTGTGACAAAATGTTGCAATGTGGAGCACTCCTGTTCAGCTTTCCAGCCTGCTATTCTTGCCCCATTCTAGGATATTCCATTCACACCCCTGCAGCCAACACAGACACATTTTGTGGCCACTGAACAGGCTCAGTCCTTATTGGGTTAATGCTGTGGGATGCCTCCTTAAAGGTCCCCCCTCCTAAATATTTTTTTGTACCTGTCTCTTTGGGTCCCCCCTGGGCATTTTGATACTTCCTTCTTGCTTTCAAATGACCCTCTCTGGACTACACTGTTGCTGGCGGTCTCATAGAATCATAGTGTTGGGAGGTACCCTGAGGATCATCTAGTCCAACCTGCTGCAATGCAAGAATATGCAGCTGATCGAACTGGCAACCTTGGCATTGTCAGCACCACGCTATCCAGTCAGTGGCTTAGTTCAGGACTGGAAGAGGTAACGCTTTGAAGGGGTTCACGGTTCCTCTAGCTGTAGTTAGTGTGCTGCTCACACAACTGTTTCATATAACATATTGAGTGGAGAGTGAGTTTGCACTTGTTGGTAGCACCCTCTTCACACTGATCTGAGCAAAGTTTATGTTCATACAAGCTGTGTGCATAGACTCTCCTTGTGTGATCTGCATCCTGCTTGATGAAGATATTCAATATCTGCAGGTCAGGAAGCTGGGCATCAGATGCATTCCTCTTCCATATGTTAAGGGTATGTGGTATTGCTGTGCAGAAAGGACTTGTGGAGAGCTGCAACAAGACCCCAGTATCATGCCAAACACTTTTGGAACAAGGATGTGCACATTTCAATGTGATTTTGACATCTTTTGGACAGAGACAATGAGGATGAACACACTTTCCCCTACCCCATTCATGTACGCTTTTGAAGTTGTTACATTTTAAATACACAAATGAATGGATATTTCCTCTTTGGAGTAGAACTGAACAAATTTGCTGGCAATATAATCTATTCCCTTTTGTAATCCCTTCATATTTTCTGGGGCTACCATTCTTGAATCATAAAGGGCAATGCAGTTAAATAGATGGGGCCCAATGAGGCTGTTTTCCACACTTCCTTCTCCAATATGTTTGTACAGTTGCCAGTGGTAGTTCAGAAATAATATTACCGAAAAAGAGGGGAAAGCACAAAGAGGTGGATGCAGTGATGGCACACACATTTTTATGAGGAAAGATTTTTAATAATGATTTAGAGCTGTTGTGATTTTTGTTATTAAAATGTTCTGAGAAAGTAGTGACATAAATCAATGCAGAATAATACTTGGCCCCTGTTCTTAAATCGTTTCCATGTTACAGGTGTCAGTTAAAAAAAACGAACCACAAAACTCCCAAATTGTGGATAAGAGGATTAATACAAAAGTGCTAATCTTTAAAACTACATATGTCCAAGATAGTGTATGTATGCTTCTAAGTGTCTAAATACCGTGCACGAACGGGATCTCGCTCCATCGTCGGTCCCAGGCTCATACAGTTGTTCCCAGAAGGCAAGGTCCTCTGACCAGAGCAGTTTGGATGGATTTGTAATGGCCTCTTAGGAGTGAGAAACAGATACAGTTTGGGATCCGGAAGGGAGTTGCTAGCAGTAAATTAAATTGGCTTCTCTGTATAACTTACTTTATCCATTTAAGTTCAGGCTTACCATGTTTTCCCAGACAAGCAAGAACGGATCATAGTGCTAGAAACAGAAAATGCCCTTCTGCATCTCAAGCTTGCAAAAGTAAGTACAGTATAAGGTACTCCATTTCCCCATCCCACTGTAGTATACACATCCCCCCACCAAGCTTTCAATTTCAACCTATTAATGGGTCAAACCTATGTAAATAAACACACTGATCCAGGAAGCATAGTTCCACAATCTGAGTTCACTTTACAAATGACTTCCATCTAATATCCATTGACCAGGAAGATGTGCTTGCCAAAAGAGAGTTACTGACAGGTTGCTGGGGAATGGCCATATCTCCAGGCAGGGCTGGGAGAGACCCCAGTCTGAAATTGTGGAAAGCTGCTGCCAGTTAGTGGAGACAGTCCTGGGCTAGATGAATGAGTGGTTTGATTCAGCATAAAGCACCTTCTGATGTTCCCAGGTTTCTGAAAAATGTGTATCCTGCATCTGGTTCCTGATATTAGATCAGGTAACCAGCCGATGGGGACTGAATGTGCTACAACAGGTGATCTGACTGGTGCAGATCAGCATAATACAACTTGGATGGAGATGTATCTTCTTGCAGCATGGTTTTGAAGGTATAGTCTCATCAGTTCCCCTGGGTTGCTATGCATATTTTTGTGTATTACTACATCTTTCAATTTAAGCAGAGTAAAAGCCATCTGTCAACCTACAGGCACAACTAAAACATTAATTACTGTAATTATCACCTGACACAGCTCTTCCTGAACAGTTGCTGCTACCTAGAATAGACAAGGGCCTAACTCACAAGTCTTTGGATTTAGCTACGAACATTATAATACTGGCTGTTTCGTTTTCAATCCTTTCCTCATTATTCTCCAGCGTAGAATAGGCATTCCCCCCCCCCACTGCCAGTTGAGAGCCAGTGTGGTGTAGTGGTTAAGAGCGGTAGTCTCGTAATCTGGGGAACCGGGTTCGCGTCTCCGCTCCTCCACATGCAGCTGCTGGGTGACCTTGGGCCAGTCACACTTCTTTGAAGTCTCTCAGCCCCACTCACCCCACAGAGTGTTTGTTGTGGGGGAGGAAGGGAAAGGAGAATGTTAGCCGCTTTGAGACTCCTTAAAGGGAGTGAAAGGCGGGATATCAAATCCAAACTCCTCCTCCTCCTCCTCCTCTTCTTCTTCTTCTTCTTCTTCTTCTTCTTCTTCTTCTTCTTCTTCTTCTGTGAGTTGTGATTTAAATAAATGCTTGTTAAGTGTTTTGGCAATCTAATCCAAATCAACCACCTTATTTTCAACATTATGCTCCTTTTTCTCCTCATAAGGGCAAGACACCTACTTTTTACAGAAAATGCTCCTGCCTTGTATAGATAGCTTCCTTGAGCCTTCTCATTAACCATAATGGCATCCTCTTGAATTCATTTGTATGTTTTCTTACCTGACATTCTATTAGAGAGAATTCAAGGCTACTGGAAATTATTTGATATTTGATCCTCCCATTTAATTAATACTGTCATTTTTAGGAAGTGCAACATTTCAACATTTTCTGCTATGCTGGTGCAAATGAAAATCTGTGGAGCTACATGGGGAGACACTATTAATGCAAACATTTTGCCATGTGGTGTAGCCTCTTTGCAGCTGTGTTTCAAGTGATTGCTTGCAAGAATGAATAAATGATGGGCCACATGTTACAGATTTTTCATGTACCCTCTTCTACCGGAAAACACATGAGGCAGATTATTCATGTTTATTTCACAATGGAAAAACAATTCAGATATAAAAACACATTGTAGCGTGTTGGTACTAAGCATGGGTCTCTGCAGTAAAGTTTCTGTATGTTCACATGATGTAATAAATACCTGCTTCTTAGGTTACCAGGTTCAGATTGCATAACTATTATAATGGTAACTTATGCAGTGGTTGACTGATCTGAAGTAGTACAGTGGTACCTCAGGTTATATACGCTTCAGGTTACATACGCTTCAGGTTACAGACTCCGCTAACCCAGAAATAGTACCTCGGGTTAAGAACTTTGCTTCAGGATGAGAACAGAAATCGTGCTCTGGTGGCGCGGCAGAAGCGGGAGGCCCCATTAGCTAAAGTGGTGCTTCAGGTTAAGAACAGTTTCAGGTTAAGAACGGACCTCCGGAACGAATTAAGTACTTAACCCGAGGTACCACTGTAATCTTAATTGTCTCATTCAACATAGTATTTTTGTTATTGTTAAGTGGAAGAGGAAGAACAGGTCTAGTGGAAACCACCAGTGTCTGAGAAACCTTTAAAAGATGGCAATAAGTTGCTTCTTCTTTATAGCTGCCTTAATTTAATTTTCAAGCCATTGTTGAGCATAGTCGACACTTATCCTTGCTGAGGGATTTTGCATCTTGCACTGTAACACTGCTAGAGATTTAGAAAACTTGGAACAGTTGGAGGCTGGGCCCGCATTAGGGCAGACTGCAGGGATTAGTGGTAATAGCAACTGTCATCCAAGAGGTTCTAATCTAATGTGAGACTGTAAATTGCTGGGTGACCTCATGAAAGTCTCTTGCCCTTGTGGAGGCTTGGTTAACTCTTTAAGGATCAACTGAAACAAAATAGAACTTGACTGAAAACCAGATGTTGCCTTTTGAGCTCAGCTTCCCTGCGAGTACTTACCAGAATAACGTGCTGGAGAAATATGATCACTGCAGTGCTTCAAAGTCTTCACAGGGATCTCTTCAAGAGCTTACAATTTTATCTCAGATGAAACCATTTGTGACATGGACTGCTTGGTTCTTGACACTTAGCTTGCAAGAAACAACCATCAAAGGCAGGTAGCAGCTCTGGCGCACACCCAAAAGACACTGACTGGCCTAGCCAGAAAAGGATGGTGAGCAGCAGAAGAAATGACTTGTGCTTGTATCTGGATACTAAGAGGTTGCATTTAGCTGTCATGGCAATAGATCTAGTTTGGGGGGGGGGCGTGATTTAAACCATAATTTTTCCACCGCTGCCTTCTCTCATTACAACCTCTTGTTTTAATGCATATGCTGTGTAACATAATACTTCCTTTCTGTCCCTTTTGAACCTGCTGTCAATCATTCACCCAATTGCCTACAGCCTACAGCAGTTCCCAACTGTGACACCATTCACAAAGCAAAAACCACCATAGAGGTATCAATGCTTTCAAAAGTAGGGGGCTTTGTTTTTTTTAAAATAGGAGATCCGCAATACTTAGCTAATTGTGAAATACTGGCCTACAGCATTTGGTCTGGTTTTGATCATAGCCAGTCACCTTACTGAAAAAACAAACACACACCAGAACCTTTTATTTGATCTTCAGCTGTAATCCACAGACCACTTCAGAAAAAGAACAATATCAGATCCGTTGGCCTTTTCAGCAGTAGGGTATGCAGGGGGTAGCAGAGGCTTACTATGGCTTACAGCTGTCATAAATGCCTGCATCTCATCAGATTTGTTACATGAAACTTTAAAAAGAAATTGTCAGGGGATTGACACAGATGCACCTCACACAGGGCACGGGAGCTATGCAATAGAAACAATTTTGTGCACAGCTGCATATGTCTTGATGGAAATCTACCAGAAAAAATTAATGTATGTATTGAGCTTGAGAGTTTCTACATATTGGAAAATATACCAACCTTCATTGTCCATGATAATGTGGAGTAAAAGATTATATGACAGCAGACACTTGGAAAGTGGCAAGAATGTTAGGGTTAAATGAACTCATGTGCTCTCAAAATTGATTTTCATTTCCCCTCTCTTATGAATAAAAATGGGATTTCAGAACTTTTTAATATAAGAAGTCAAATGTTAATCAATTCATTGTGTCTGCAGCTATAATCTCCCACTGCTGACTTAAGTGGAAGACTGTCATTCATTCAAATAGACAACCTTTTGTGAGAACCTAGTTAGAAGCTGAAGGTGATAAAACATTTCATGCATAAAGGAAAATAGAAAAACTAGGGGTGGTAGAAAACCATTGCTTCATGTGAAAAATTTCAATTCCTCATATCCAGCCTTTGCATAAAAATACAGTGAACTTTTATGGGTTATAACACTTGACTTTCTGAATGTTTACATTTTATGTTGTTGGGCTTTGTAGAAATCTCCAATTGCCAGTCTGTCTTTTTGAACTATCTGGGTTTTTATTTTTATTTTTAAACAGAATCAAGGAATTATTGGGAAAATCTCAGGTGAAGAAGCAAATGATAGCTTTGCTTATTACAAGCAGCAGAAGTGTCATGGAAGTGTCAGATCCGTTATAATCCAGCTGCATGAAGCCATACAGGTAAAAGCACTTAGACTGCAGTCCTCGCCTTACTTACAAGCAAGCTTGTTTTCTGCTGCTCCAGAGGGTAGGACCCAAACCAATGCATTCAAATTACAAGAAATGAGATTCTGACTAAACATCAGGAATTACTTTCTGGCAGTAGGAACTGTTCAACAGTGGAATGGACTTCCTCCGGAGGTGGTGGACTCTCTTTCCTTGGAGGTTTTTAAGCAGAATTTGGATGGCCACCTGTCATGGATGCTTTAGTTGAGATTCCTACACTGCAAGGGGGTTGGGCTAGTGACCCACAGTGTCTCTTCCAACTCAACAATTCTATTCCACCTGGGAGTAAGCCCCATGGAATTCAATAGAGCTTACCTTCTGAGTACACATACAAATGCTGCACCATCAGAATTTGAAAGACTCTGTACGCAGAGAATTTTAAAAATGTAACTTGACCTTTAGGAGCCTCTTATTATTTTGTTGTTTTTCATCTCTAAAGGTCTTGGGTTTGGGCGCAGGTGACTTAATTGATTGAGTAGACATTTCTATACCACAAAGCAGTTTACATGAAACATCAGTAAATTATTATTTAATCTGAACGTAGACCGAAATGGGTCCAGATAATTCTGCTGGAAGAAGCCCAGTGTTAATAGTCCCCAGTGGGAAATCATATTGCTTGTGAAACACCTAGACGGAGGATGGGTTACAGTTATAATAAATAATACATGCCCCCACAGCTTACCTTGGGAATCGTTGGCATGCAGTTCCAATATATACTCACACTGGGAATCCTAGTGCAGTGATATTCTGTGAAAGGTCGTATAAATCCCATCTGAGTTAGTAGAAATTAAATTAGTGTAGAACTGCAGCCATAGGAAGGAATTAAAAATTGCACCAAGGTAAGTGTTCTGTCAGTGCAGGAATTTCAGCTTTCCAGACAGAATAATCTCCCCTCTCCTCTCCGTGTGCTGTTCTTGGGGCTCTCCCACCCCATTCCTGTCTGAACCATACCCTAAAGACTGTTCATAGGGATGCAGGTGGTGCTGTAGTCTAAACCACTGAGCCTCTTGGGCTTTCTGATCAGAAGGTTGGTGGTTTGAATCCCTGCAATGGAGTGAGTTCCTGTTGCTTTGTCCTAGTTCCTGCCAACCTAGCAGTTCGAAAGCACACCAGTGCAAGTAGATAAATTGGTACCACTGCGACAGGAAGGTAAACGGCGTTTTCGTGTGCTCTGGCTTCCGTCACAGTATTCCGTTGTGCCAGAAGCGGTTTAGTCATGCTGGTCGCATGACCCGGAAAGCTATCTGTGGACAAATGCCAGCTCCCTTGGCCTGAAAGTGAGATGAGCACCACAACTCCATAGTCGCCTTTGACTGGACTTAACCATCCAGGGGTCCTTTACCTTACCTTTACCTTAAAGACTGTTCTTTCTGTTTCTTAAATAGAAACTGAAGCAAGAAGTGAAGAATCTCCGTTTGTCTGCCCTCACATTTTCCAGAGATGTCCAGCATCATGGCAAAACTTACCTTGGTCAGATTTTGGCTGCTGTCCAAAGGCTTCAGATGCATAATGAGGCTATGCAAAGTAAGAGATGAGCACCTTTGAAAGCTTATCAGGCTGCCGTCTAAGGTGCTTGAACCATATGAGCAGTGCCACCGTTGGTAGCAGCTCGCAGAATTTGCAATGAAGGTTCTGGCTTTGGGTTGAGAGGCAACTTTTTGCTGCTGCCAGGACTTTACACAAAGCAGATGTACTGCACCAAAAGCATACTGCATCTCTGGTCCACTCAGAGAGTGGATGGGTTGTCTTCCTGTCTCCTTAGAATAAGAGTTACAGGGGTCAGGCAAAAGCACCTTGCCATAACTGAAAGTAGTGATAAGGTTAAAGCTTACTGGGAACTGATATATAATGAAATGAAAAGGATGTTTAAAATAACCTTTGTAAAAAAAAACCCAGAAGCTTTTCTTTTGGGAATTATAGGGAAAGAACTTCCTAAAATATATAGAAACTTATTCATGTATGCTACTACAGCGGCAAGAATGTTACTTGCCCAAAAATGGAAAGAGGCAGAAGTCCCAGCAAAGGAAGAATGGATAAAAAAACTTACAGAATATGCAGAAATGGCAAAACTTAGCGGAAGAATAAGAAATCAAGATAACAATTTTTTTAATATAAAAGAGTGGAAATGGTTTGTTGAATATTTACAGATAAATTATAAACAGATAAAAACATTGGCAGGATTATTATAATAACCTGCAGTTTCATAAGAGTATATATTTAAAGAAGATGAATAAATGACCAAATTAAGTTAATTTGGATATGTAGAAGATATTAAAAACAAATTTAAGGAACTGCAGAAAGGGGGAAGGAAGTCAGGTTTTGAAATGTCAAAATGATTGTAAAATTAGTGAAATGTATAAAATTAGTGAAATGTATAAACTTGAAAAGTAGAAATTTAAAAATTAATTAATTTTTTTAATGAAAGTAGTGATGAGGTGGAGCATGTTTCTATGGAAACTGAACAATGAAAATACAAGCACAGGTCTGGGCAGCCTGTGGTTTTTGAAATGATGCTGGAGAACGCTGTCTATGGCTACCAGCCACAATGGCAACGGTCTTCCTTCAGAGGCAGTAGGCCTCTGAAAACCAGTTGCACAAGTTGTCACAAGTGAGGAGAGCACTGTTGCATTCATGTCCAGCTTATGACCAGCTGCTGTGAGAACAGGATGCTAGCTAGATGGGCCTTTTGCTGGATTGAGCAGGGCTCTTTTTATGCCCTTCCATTAGACTCAAATTCCCAGCTGCCCTAATCAGAATTGCCAATAGTCTAGGATGATGGGAGTTGTGGCGCAGTGACATCTGATGGACCACATCTGCCTTACCTTTAATATAAACATTGCCCAGGTACTTCGGTTCAAGGTCCATCTTGCCCAGCACTCTGTTGCCAGCAGCAGCAGCTGACTGAATGCCCCTGGACGCTCCCAAGCAAGGCACAAAGCAGCAGCAAAGTGCAATTTGGGTGGAGCTATGATGCATAGGTGGCGCTGTGTGTAAAACCTCAGCGCCTAGGACTTGCCGATCGCATGGTCGGCGGTTCGAATCCCCGCGGCGGGGTGCGCTCCCGTCGTTCGGTCCCAGCGCCTGCCAACCTAGCAGTTCGAAAGCACCTCCGGGTGCAAGTAGATAAATAGGGACCGCTTACCAGCGGGAAGGTAAATGGCGTTCCGTGTGCTGCGCTGGCTCGCCAGATGCAGCTTGTCACGCTGGCCACGTGACCCAGAAGTGTCTGCGGACAGCGCTGGCTCCCGGCCCATAGAGTGAGATGAGCGCACAACCCTAGAGTCTGGCAAGACTGGCCCGTACGGGCAGGGGTACCTTTACCTTTTTATGATGCACTCATGGCAGAGCTTCTCTACCTGTGGACCATACGAATGTTTTCAGTGCAGAGAACAAAGTCTCAAATGAGAGTGCTGGACTTGAAGAGGCTCTCTGTGATGATATTTGCATATTCCATTTTTAAATAGCTTCTTGTTTGGAGGCATCAGTGTGCAGATGCTCTCAGGCCCATGTCTGAGGGGGAAATAGCCTAACAGTTCTGTGAACATTTGTGAAAATGTCTTTTCAGCCTTTCAGACCAGAGCCTTTGAACTTGAGCAGTCCTTGCATGAAGTAAATGAGCGATACCAGAAAGAAAAACAAAGGAGAAAAGTACTTCATAACAGTTTAATTGTAAGTGTCCTGGTAACTGAGTCTGCAATGTCTTTTAAAAGATCTACATAAATATCGGAGTTGCCAGTGTGCAACTTGAGATGACTTTCCAGTTCCTTTTTATCAGTTCCTGTATCTGCATGGGAGGCTGTGCTCATGGCTTCTCTTGTCTGCTCTTTCCAAGGCCTGTTGCCTTCCCTTTATTCCCAGCTGCCTCTTCAAACTGTGGGGCTTTTTAAAGAAACGGTTGGGTTGTCTGAATTGCAACCTTTTAAAATATGTCTTGACTTCATGTGCTGTGTAAGAACATTTACTTTCACTAGTGCATCAGTCAGATTACAGTGGCTAAAAAAATGGGGAAAGAAAGGCAGACTTAAGGAGATTAAGACCATCATCTTTCATCAAAATCCTGGTCTGGGGTAAAACCACCTTGGACACTTTTTCACTCTCTGTGGTAATTTAATGAGGCAGAGCTTCAATAGTCATGAGGCAACATAGCAACAACACAACTTTCTGTATTTTCTTACCGCCTCTGATTCACACCATTTCATTCACGAGTTTTTAAAACTGCTGACTATGTTTCTGCATTGCATCCTCAGGAACTAAGGGGAAATATCAGAGTCCATTGCAGGATCCGCCCACTGTTACCATTTGATACACCTCCTGGAGAGTCAGACTTAAAAGACAGGTAATTTATTTCATGAATATAGTTATGTTAACTGACACTCGGATGTCTTTCCGGCGTCAGGAAAAGACCTTTTTATTTTCCTAGGCTTTTAAACTTTTGTTGGTCTGTTTTATTTGGGTGTTGCTTTTATAGAGTTGCTGTTTTTGGCTGAATTTATGGGTGTTAGATACTTATTGTAAGCCATGCAGATAATGTGTTTGAAAGCTTGGGTACAAATCTGAATCATAAACAGTCTAATTGTTCTCCTTCTATTTGAAAATGTTGGTTAGATTCTGCATTTTTACATACTTTGGAAGACATTTCCACTTTACAAGTGGAATCTGCAACAAACTTGCATTTTATCCTCACACCCTAGCAGGAATGTTCCTGTTTAGAATTCCAGCCAGTCAGATGTGTTCTCCTCAGTAGTGGGATCAAGCAAGCCAGTTTACTCCTCTGTCTCCCAGTTGTCCATTTTTCCTCAACCAACATTCAACATTCTTTAGCTCTTGCAAGCCATTGAGCACAATGAATCCTCTTTTGGCTGAGGAGGTTTTTGGGGGGTGGAAGGGAGGTTGTCATGTCCCTTTTGGTTTTTAAAAATGTTCTGTATTTTTCTGTGCTCATGGGCTCATCCAGGCATGTTAATGGTTCCCTCTTGCTTCTCCAATTCTGTTGGCACTCAACCATCTGAATTCTCTGTTAGAGGAAATTAGGGTGATTTTTACTCATGTCTCCTTTTATAGCCTTCCAGCTTCTTAGATCTGGAGGATTCTGACATCACCATTGTCGGGTTCAGATTACAGGAGGTAACAACGTGCTTGGGCTCTGACATGCAAGCCCTGCCCCCAGCATCCCCATACGTGTGGCCCTCCCCACTCCATCCCCAACCTTCCTCAGGCTGAGCAAGGAAGCTGCAAGAGGGCTTTTATTTGCCTTTCCTTGGAATGCCATGCATGACTGGAGACCCTGTTTCATGCCCCTGTCTCCATTCATTGATTCAGCGTTTTGTCTTTATCTTCTGATTAGCTTTCATGAAGGTGGAAGCGCCTCTGAAACATCCTTTTGTATCCTCTGAGCTTGGCAGATCTTGTGCATAACTCAGTATGGAAGATGCTGTGAGGGCAGAAAAGAAAGCCGAGATGCTTTCTGCCTGGCTTGCTCGCATAATCTTCCCCGTACTCCAGGCATGGTGGGGCCCCAGGAAACAGTTTGGGGGCTAAACAAAGCCCTTTCCAGACTGCTAGCTATCCTTTTTTCCTTTAAAGAAAGCAATGGGACTTTTCTTCCCAATGAATCTGTGAGTGCACTATCAACACAGACAATGAAAGATGGAGCCACAAAAGTGATATTGAAAGTAGGCAATTCCCCTTCCTTATTGGCTCTTCCAGGTGACCTGCTTGTTGAGCATGTATCCTGATGTACATGAAAGCTACATCATAACTGGTCTTTTGTTCTGATTTGTTTATGGTCTGGTTAGATGTCAGTGATCAATCATCCCACATTCATCCTGATTTCCTTACAGGGTGCTTGTACATCTTCCCATTAATCATGTCTTCCTTTCACACACCTTAATGCACATCCTTGTCGCTTTGCAAACTGCAAGAAGTCCCATTCTTTTCGAAAGTGGATCTCTTGGGTGACAGAGCACTTTAATACACTTTAATTGTGCAAACTTGAATCCATCCTGCAAAACATTGACAGTCTGGAGGCAACCAGAATGACTATTGAGTGTTTATGTTTTTGTTACGTTGCTCACCAACCTGTCTTGCTGTTCAGGTTCCATTAACTCAGACACCCTTTTCCCATGTCACATCCCTCTCAAAGGCTGAAAGAACAGAAGGGATAGGCTGATGTAGCAAGCCTGTACTGCTACTTTATAATCTGTTGCTTTGTAATCAATCCTGATGTAGGGAAATCAATCCCAGAAAGCCACAAGAAGTGTCTCTTTATGTTTGCTTGTATATGGGTTTAAGAAGGTTGTATTTATTTCTGTTTGCTACGGTTTGGGAAGGGGGGAGGAATAAAATACTGCTGCGATTTGAAAAGCAATTACAACTAAGAGGAGAGCTGTGTAATCTAGGATTTTTATGGCTCCAAGGAACACAATTGTTTTTCTGAGGCTCTCCAAATAGCGGTACGTTTATCTGCAAAACTGCAGCGCAAAGCAGAGTGGTCAGTGCTCCAGCACAGGTCTAAGCATCCTGTGTTTCTCCACTCTCCCCATACATTTCTCAGCAAAACTTCCTTTTCTCCCAGCACTTACACAGGTAGGTCCACACAGCTACAGCTGCAAACTCATACTTCCATTTCCTTTCATGTAGTGCTCTGTTCTTCATGTTGTCCAAGTTGCTAGCGCTCACACTGTGTTAAGAGCTGAGGGTAGAATTCAGTGTAGTGCTAAGGGGTATGCATGTGAGGAACGAGGTCCGTTGGCACCACAGGATTGTCCCCTCTCCTCTCCCTGTGCCACCTAAACCTGTCCTGGGCATTCCCCCACATCTTCTGGAGCAGATTTAGAGAGGAAGGATGGGAGAGAGCGGACCTCGTTTTCCATATGCAACAATTAGACACAGCACATAAGGAAAAAGGAACAGGGAAGGAAGAGGAAAATATGCATACTCCGGCACCAAATTCTTAATGTAGCAAGGTTCTTACAATGACTAGCTTGGATGGGAAGAGACTGCTTACAGTACAAAAGCAGACCTTGGTGACCCCTGAGAAATACTCTTCCTGGAAGTGACTATAATGCGGGAAGTTGTTGACCTTATAGGGTGGGGTCTTCACTTGGCCTAGCTGGAATTGCTTCTTGTAAGTTGCATCATGACAGGGAGGCTCATAGTGGCCCAGCTGATGCCACCATTCTCAGAGGAGATGGTCCTCTTTCTCCTCAGAGGACAGCTGGACCTGATAGTCTCTGGGGGAAGCAGCAGCGAATGAAGGTGGCTGTTCTTGTTTGGATACCATCTGCATATTTTATTACGAGGAATATGGCCTCTGCTTTCCTCTGTTCTGGCGAGGCAGTCACAGTATTCAGAACTCTAGGGAATTTTATTATGTGAGGAACGGGGAAAGGTGGTGTTTGCACATGGTATCACAACTATTTGGCATTTTCCACACCTGGGGTCACAGTCTGAGCTCAAGACCATTCCTGCAGCTTGCTTATCTTTGTGGTTATTCTAGCCCTGACTGTGTCTCTGCCTCCTGGTTGTCAGGTTCACTCCAAGGGTGAGTAGCAGTCAATGTGAGCCTAGGAGAATAATCAGAAAACTCTTTCCCATCTAGCCAGAAGGCCAGTGTAGGTTCTACAAGGGGCACACATTTTGCCACTAACCTGTGGCATAGCATTGGGCCTTAGGCCCCTAGGTTTCTTGGTTATTTGTGCAATTGGCTGTTTTGTTAAAGTTGATGCAAATTGCTGGTTGTTTTCTTCTTGAATGTTTTGTAAGTTAATACATTTTGTTGTCAAAAAGGCAGAGAAACATCCCAGAAAATGTGGTGTGTGAAGCTGATGATGTGAGTATATTTAAGTTTCTATGGCTTTTAATGCTTGTGTTTTCTGTTTTTATTGCTGTAAACCACTTATCCCTTGTGGGATAAGAATGAGTGGACCGTGATATCTTCACTTTCCAAGAGCTTTGCATCCTCACATGCAGAATTCGCTTTATGACTGACTCCCCACCCCCCTCTGATATCCTGAAGGCTTGGACTATTCATGTTACCTTCCCCATTTCTCCATCACACTGCACAGCCTCCTTAGTGACTGAGGCTAGGAGGTTATTTCTGGCACTGTGAAGTGAGTTTTGGCCGTCCCTTGTTAATCATTTTCTTCTAGTATATCAATGTGCAAAAGGCTTTGTTTGCCCTCACTGTAACTCTGCGTGTGCATCTGTGTAAGTGTAATGGGTTACAGTCGTACCTTGGAAGTGGAAGGGAATCCGTTCTGGAAGTCTGTCCGACTTCCAAAACGTTCAGAAACCAAAGTGTGGTTTCTGATTGGCTGCAGGAAGCTCCTGCAGCCAATCAGAAGCCCCGTCAGACATTTGGCTTCCAAAAATAGTTTGCAAACCGGAACAGTCACTTCTGGGTTTGTGGCGTTCGGAAGCCAAAACCTTTGAGAACTAAGCTGTTTGAAAACCATGGTACAGCTGTATTCTTATTCCAGTTTTTCAGCTAGAGCAAGGCTGAGAGGGTTACTTGTGATGACACAATGATATGTGAGCATTCCCAGCATTCAAATCCAGCGCTTGGCCCACCAGATCACATGCCTGAGTTTTGTCAGTGGCACTTCAGCTCCAATAATAATAGTTATTTCCCGCCTTAAACTACTTGTAGTTGCTTCACTGATGCCTTGCCAGAGGCTAGAAATGCAGTGTCTAAAATGTAGCTGCCTACCAAGCCTTGCTTTCAAGTGCATTAAAGGGAACCTGGCTTAAGTCCACCAAAGCAGAGGGGCTTGAGAGCTGAGCTGCAAATCCAGATGGCATTCCAGTATTAATTAAGCCCATTACCAAGAAATAACATTGGAAAGGCATGGAGCTAAGATGGAGTTTTAAATTCAGGTTTTGCGGTAATTTTCTTGACTATTGGGGCTTTCCGTCAGATACTCTTCATTATTTACACTTCATGCAAGTGTGCAGCCAATTTTCCTTTTATGGCAGCATATAAAATGCAGCAAAAGAGCACATGAACATATGTAGCTGTGTTATATTTGCTCAGGCCTTCTGTCCACCTAGCCCAGTGCTGTCTGCCTGGCTTGGCAGCATCTGTTACAGGATTTCAGATTGCAGTCTTTCCCATCATTTCTTTCTTCCTTTTGTGTAAGTGATGACACTCATCACCTGAATTTGCTATTTATCATATGAAAATCATCTGTGCAAATGCTTGATTTTGAAGATTGCATTTTAGAATATGTGCTTTTGACACTGACCAAACAGAAAGTTCTGGGTTTTAATTCACAGAGTTCAATTCATCTAGAGTCTAGATTCTAGACCAACTGCTGAAATAAAACATGATAGCCTCTAGGGCTGAGCAATGTCTGGTTTTCAACATGGTGATATATCACTAACTAAACATCACAATATATCACAATGTACCAATATATCACGATGTCTGAAATAAGGTGGAACTATGTAGAGGCAAACAGTAGGACAGGGCGATATCTGGTTTTCAACTTTGTGATATATCACCAACTAAACATCACAATATACTGATATAGCACAATGTCTTTAATATGGATGGAACTATGTAGAGGGGAGCAGGGTAGTGTCCTGGCAACTGCTACTACATAAGGTTCTAAAACTACATTTTTACTTACCTTTAACATATTGTTACAACTGTTATTTTATAGTAGAGTGCGACTGGGATGGCAAAACTCGAGAGAAGCGATGACTGGCTTCACGGTTTTCCCATACAGTAGAACCTCATGTTACGTACTGTCCTCCTTGCGAACGCTGTGGGTTACGAGCTCCGCTAACCCGGAAGTAGATGCCCCTTGTTGCAAACTTTGCTCTGGGATGTGAGCAGAAGTCGCGTGTGGCAGCAGCGGGAGGCGCCATTAGCGAAAGCGCGCCTCATGTTACGGCTTAAGAATGGACCTCCGGAACAAATTAAGTTAATAACCGGAGGTACCACTGTATTGCATTTTTTTTACGTAGCGCGCGCACACACCACTGTGATTCGCAATATACCACCATGTCAAATATTGTGAAACCGTTACCGCGATGTGGACCAATTTTGGATGATGTATTGATACATCTCCCAGCCCTAATAGCCTCCACCAAATACATACCTAGCAAATCCTTGACTAAGGAAGGAGATTCTTCAGTTAGAGTCAGCAGCTAGCATCACTGGGACACATCCAGCACTTTGTTAGTTACCATTTGGACTTCTAATGACATTTGCATCTGAATCAGTAGAATGTAGATGAGTGCTGGTTTGGTATAGTGGTTAGTATTTTGGACCTAGGTTCAAATCCTCATTTAGCCATGACATTCATTGAGTGACTTTCGGCAAGTCACCCTTTCAGCCCAACCTACCTCCCAGATTGTTGAGAAGATAAAATAGAGGAGAAACTATATACACCATCTTGAGCTCCATGGGTGGGGGAAAGGTGTGATATAAATGTAATAAACAGATGCATAGCAGCTATAGCAATGGGACATGGCAAGCTGACCCTTTGGCTTGGCTTGCCCACCCACTCCTCTCCCTTAATTTGACCCTCCAACAAAGCTCGCTGCTGTGTTCTCCATGCTACTAGAAAAGCATTATGAACCCATTGCTTCTAGTTTGTTTCCAGTTCTATCTTCTCTCTTTCTGCCACTTTCCTATATAACCCTCCAGTATCTCACTGCTACTTCAGTTGAAAGGTTCATGGAGTCTAGTACTTGAACCCTAACAAATCCTGATACTAACACACCTCTAGCATTAGTGAACTGCCATTGTAATGGCAATAGATTTATTGCTGAAATCAGACTGGGTATATTCCAGTGGGATTTGTCAAGCATTTGTAGAACTGCAATTGCTGCATGATTTCAAATGGAATGTAATTTGAAAACAACAGCACTGGACCAAAATTACTTCAGATTTGGGGAGGCTTGAAAGCTGTCGAAAGACTGTGGTAAATAAAAAGTCTGTTTGTTTAGAGATTCTTGCCTTGAAATTTGCTAGAGGGGCAAGTGATCTCTTTTTTCGCCCCCTTTGAGTCTTGTAAATCTTGGCTTGAGAACTATCACTTCAGTTCCAAGGCCTAAAAAAGGTTTTAGATTTTTATTGCAAGTAAAGCACAGTATTTCATTTCACCGTTTTGAGTTCCTTCGTCCTTATAAAGCCTTGGAATCTTTTTCATATGGATGATTTTGGCTACTGGCATTGGAGGTATGAGAGCGTGGTTATTGTCATGGCAACTGCTTGCTTTACTAATTGGTTTGAAATGTGAAATTGGTTTTATCAGTTTAAAAGAGCAGATGTTTGGCTTTCCTTTCCACTTTTTCTAGTTCATAACATTTACTTTGCAGTTCTACTTCTTGGTTTGCTAGTATGTAGTTAATATTGCCACCTACCTGAGCCTTGAAGCAGATGGTGTGACTGCACTCATTATTTTCTGTAACCAAAATGTATCGTGTCAATCAAGCTTGGGATGGAAGAGGATGTTGGCAGTCTACCAAGTTGACTCGGCATATGCAGAATAGGTCAGGAGATGTGTAGATGAAGAGTCTTCTACTGGTGGGTCAGGACACACTGCTGATCCACTACTGATTTACTGTTTGGGTAAAAGATTGAAGTCTACTGATCTAGCCCATTCCATATGAGAGAGCATCATTGCTCCTTTCAAGGATGGAAAAGAGCTGGTTTCATACTGATAGTAAACTGGAAGTCACAGAAACGTGTGTGTGTTTTCATGTGGTATTTACAGTGCAATCTCATGCATGTTTACTCAGACATAACTGAGACATAACTCAGCACTTTAACTGGTATGGTGTGAATGTGACTCAATGGAAGTTCTAAGAATACGATGCCCAAGTGGCAGCATGATGACTCAACTGCGATTACCTTGTTCAACATGCCAGCCAGCTAACCCATTTCAAAATAATCTAGAGTCAAACTTATACTGCACAATTCAAAAATGTAGTTGGACTGGTCACATCTCTGTTAAAACAAGGGCTGCCATATCGGGACTGGAACTACAGCAGCATCGGGAAAGTGAGTTTAACACTTCCCTCCTGTGCCATTTTCAGCAATTAAAGTTACTCCCCTGTGCACGGCTTCTGTTGGTTGAGATGCTATATAATATAAGCAATAGGACAAATACTTCCTGGACAACATGTTTAATTCCATAGAATATAAGTCACAGAAGTGCCACGACAGCAATGCCTCTTACTTGAGGGGGTGCTCTTGTTTCTTGTTGTTGTCATCCCCACAACAAGTAGAAATGTATTTTCAGGCTTTTCTCTATAATTGGCTTTCAAAAAATTTACTTAGGATTAAACTGATAGATTCCACAACACAAATCCAAAAGTTTGGATGAAACCCCCTGTCCTTTCTGAGTGCTGAGAGAGCATACTAAGAAGAGCAGAATATAGGGCCTTGTGTCACTTCCTCTTCCCCCTCCTGAGTCAAATTCTTTGAATATGGGTATAGATATTGGGCTATCTATTCATCTCTCTTGTTGCTATCTAGATTTCTGCTAGATGGACCAACTGCATACAGCTGTGTGTGTGGCAACCCAAGGGCTCAGTTCACTGCACTCCCACCCCTCCAGACTGTGCCATTGAGGAACCATATATTAAAGGCAGGATATGGCTATGTGGTTTTTGCAGTTTGGAAGGTCTAAACATCCCACTTTGTGGTGAACCTTTAAGCATACATTTTCTTTTCGTTTAGACTTATATGATGTATATGTTTTAATTGTTACCACCCTTGTTTTCTGTTAGGAAACCGTCTTTGTAAAATGCAACCGTCCCGGTCATGCTTTGATAAACAAGACGTTCCAGTATGAAAGGTGGGTGGTCTTGAGAACCATTGTGGCTTTGACTAAAATATATATGATTTTTAATACAAGTTGATAATGGGACTCTTACTGTTCTGAAGACATCTTGCATTTGCTACTTCCTCATGAATCCTCAAGACTTACAACTATGAAACAAAATGGAATTCTGAATTCTCTCTGGAGGAAGAAATGTTTTATTCTTCTATATTTGAAAAGTAGATTGTTGCCACTAGGGTTAATCTGGTGCCCAGATGAAGTTTCCCTTCACATACATGCTGTTTCTTCATGATGTTTCCCCATGGAGCTATTACTATTGCAGTCACATAGGGGACAGTGATAATCTAAGCGGATTTAGGGAACAGTGTGGCTTAAAATACCAATACAGTGGTACCTCGGGTTAAGTACTTAATTCGTTCCGGAGGTCCGTTCTTAACCTGAAACTGTTCTTAACCTGAAGCACCATTTTAGCTAATGGGGCCTCCTGCTGTCGCTGCGCCGCCGGAGCCCAATTTCTGTTCTCATCCTGAAGCAAAGTTCTTAACCCGAGGTACTATTTCTGGGTTAGCAGAGTCTGTAACCTGAAGCGTATGTAACCTGAAGCGTATGTAACCCAAGGTACCACTGTAGATTGATGCATGGGGATAACAACCAAAGACACACATATTTTGGTATCTGCCCTCAGTTAATGGGTTAGAAATAGTTGTCCTTCTATTCAGCTTTCTTAGGGCTTTTTACCAGGGCTAAAGGTAAAGGTAAAGGTACCCCTGCCCGTACGGGCCAGTCTTGACAGACTCTAGGGTTGTGCGCCCATCTCACTCAAGAGGCCGGGGGCCAGCGCTGTCCGGAGACACTTCCGGGTCACGTGGCCAGCGTGAAATCGCTGCTCTGGCGAACCAGAGCCGCACACAGAAACGCCGTTTCCCTTCCCACTAGTAAGCGGTACCTATTTATCTACTTGCACCCGGGAGTGCTTTCGAACTGCTAGGTTGGCAGGCGCTGGGACCGAGCAACGGGAGCGCACCCCACTGCGGGGATTCGAACCGCAGACCTTCTGATCGGCAAGTCCTAGGCGCTGAGGCTTTTACCCACAGCGCCACCCGCGTCCCTAACCAGGCGTCCCTTACCACCCGCGTCCCTTAACCAGGCGTCCTAACCAGGCATCCCTTACCTAACCTTACCTAACCTAACCAGGCGTCCCTTACCACCCGCGTCCCTTACCAGGGCTATTTACCAGTAAATAAATGTCTTCACACATTCTAAGTATCCATTTTCTGATAACACCTGAAAAATATTACTATGCCAAGATCCAGCTGCCTTATATTCCTGTCATGGGCAGTGCCTCCCTGGTCAGTTCATATGGATGAAGGACCCAGTTCTTTATATTTTAATACAAGAGACTGTGTTACCAGTTCAAAATATTGTTACACGACGTTTCCGTGTGTGCTCTGGCACTTGTCATCATGTCCCATTGCTTCAGCAGTGGTTTAGTCATGCTGGCCACATGGCCTGGGAAGCTGTCTGTGAACAAACACTGGCTCCCTCAGCCTGAAAGTTAGATGAGCGTCGCAACCCCATAGTCGCCTTTGACTGGACTAAACCATCCAGGAGTCCTTTACCTTTTTACCCTTTTACCTTTACAGAACATGCCATATGTGCAGCAGTGTGCGTTTAGTTCCTTCCCCACCACCCGCCAAAAAAGATGAAGGTTAGAATAGTAAATCCTTTCAAAGAATGTAGCTCTTGGAAGTGTGTTTTTCAGTGTCCCCACGCAGCTTATTCTTATAAGCAGAAGAGCATATGGTTCTTATGAACTTCAAATGTCTATTTTTTTAGCAGCTTTTTAGTGGAACTAATAAATGTTGAAATGCTTGGTTCTATTTCAGCAGGAAAAAAAGATATAGCTTTTCAGTATTTTATGTTTTTTTCAGATACTTTTATTAGTGGATAGTAAATAAAACAATAATGAAACAAACTAAAAACGGCTTTCAATGTTCAGGATCAAATTAACATTAAAGAGCATGTGGCTGGAAGAAGGAGGTAGACCAATGTCATTTTGCACGAGCAAGTCGCTTGAGATTGCTTTGCGTTCATTAACTGGAGCAGGAAAGCAGATCTGAATTGTTCATTGACACAAAATGAAGCTACAGTGGTGCCCCGCAAGACGAATGCCTCGCAAGACAGAAAACCCGCTAGACGAAAGGGTTTTCCGTTTTTGAGTTGCTTCGCAAGACGAATTTCCCTATGGGCTTGCTTCGCAAGACGAAACGTCTTGCTAGTCTTGCGATTTTTTCCCCGCTCCCCCCCTTTTTCTAAGCCGATAAGCCGCTAATAGCCTTTTAGCAGCTAAGTCGCTAAGCCTTTAATAGCCGCTAAACCGCTAATAGCGCTAATCCGCTAAGCCGCTAATAGGGTTGCTTCGCAAGACGAAAAAACCGCTAGACGAAGAGAATCGCGGAACGGATTCTTTTCGTCTTGCGAGGCACCACTGTAGTGTGCCTAATTACATCCCATTTAAACACCCATCAGACAGAACCTTAATGAAGCAAGTTCCATATCACCATGTGAGCATAACCCCTTAGAAAATGTACTGGTATTTAAGAAAGTAAAGTTTTATCCTGTGAACACTCTCAATAGTTTTCTGGGAAAACTTGCCCCCATTAAATATTGCATCAACCCTAAAACACATACTGTTGCTGTGTCCTGTTACTGAGAGTTTTAAGTGGCAATCACTCATTTGAACCCATGGCATTCCTAGCAGAGATCAGCTCTTGAAGACTATGTTGTCTTATTACCTCGGGCAGCTACCTAATAATGGCATGGTGTTAAATTACCATTTTGTCTTTAGGGATGGGTGGCTGTCAGTTTAGGTTTCTCTCAAGTTTCTCATTTTTGCAGTATTAAGTTCAGTTCTCCACATCTGTTTGTAAGGGTTGTGGTTTTTTTAATCCTCATGAATTTTCATCAGCATTTTAGTACACATTTCTCCTAATATGCACATTTTTGCACTTTTTCCTGATATATGCATTTTTGCCAAGCAGTTTTCCCTAATAAAATGCATTTTTGGTTTTAGCTTTGTTAGTAAATGCATTTCATGTACACTTTACCCTTTGTACACATTTCTTGGCAGCAAAAGTCCATTGTAAAATTCAGTGGAGTGCCAATTTATAAAGTTGGCTGTGTTTCAGTTTGCTTATTGTTCGGGAAACTGTGGTATTAGATAGGTTCACATTGAAATGCAAACTGATTTAAATTTCTCCCCCATTCCTATTTGTCCCACCTCATCATGAGCTCTGCAGCAAGCCTCTGACGTTGTGTTGGCCCATAATCTGAATCCACATCGGTCTATTTCCAGCGTGGTGTGGCGACCATATGATATGAAGCAGCTATATGATATTCCACTTATTTCCCCACCAGGGAAGGCAAGCCGGGTGTTGATGAATACTGACTGATCCATATACATCATCTAGATTCTTGCAAAAGTACCAACTTGGTCATAACTATGGTACCTAACTGTAGGCCTCCCCGCCCCCAGCCACAGAATTCCTTCCAAAATCTCAGCAAAGCCACCACAGCACAGATGTTAAAAATGAAGCTAGAATCCAAGTAACATGCTTCTGTGTGCAGACATTAAAATAAAAACAATGGGGGGGGGACTGAATGAAAACATATCACAGCCTAGTCTGTGTCTCTAGAAATAGCTAGGATTTGACAAGGTCCTCCTTGGCAATGTCCAGAACACTTTAGACTCCTTACATCTGGCTACTGCAATAGAATTGTGGCTCAACTCTGTTTAATTTCCTGGTGTCTAAACCAGCTTAAGAGTAGGCGTGAGTAATTCCCTTCCATAGATCTTAGTGCTTCTGAAGAAATTGTTTCACAATATTGGAGATTTCAGTGAATAATGCTGCTCTGTTCTTTGTTCTTTCTTCACTGCAAACATTCCCAAACCATTTTGCCACAATGACTGATTTGTATTTTACATCTACAGAGTTTACAGTGCTTCTGATTCTCAAGTGACAGTGTTTGCAGATGTAGCCCCTTTGCTAACATCTCTGTTGGATGGGTGAGTTGAAAAGGGAAGGGAAGTGCTTCTAACAGGGTATCAACACTCTCAAAGATAGTCTGTTTCTTAAAGAGAGAGAGAGAGAGAGAACACAAAGGCGTAAACCCTACCAAGGAGTTAATGCACCTGCCACAAAAGTAAGGAGTCCTTCTTTTCTCCTAGACTTTGATATGGTACATTAAAACTATGATGAATCAGAAGAAACAGCAAATCTGGTGTCTTGCTACAGGGATTCATTAGTTGCCTCTTTTGGGTCCATTTAGAAAACAACAGCACCGTGTCCTAGAAGGGAGGGGAGGAGGTGTTAAATGTTCTTTCCAAAATTCATACTACCAAGTTTTCTGCTAACTCCAGTGCAGTTCTGCACGCAGATTAGGGAAGCATCTTCCGCCTTAAGCCAGTTTCTGTTTAAAATAGGTTCCCTGAAACATGGCTTTTTTTCTTTGCTTCTCCCCCCTTCAGCCATTCAGGAAATGTTCTGTTATTGGAAACAAAAGTACTTCATGCCTTTTCAGGACACACCATTTAAACAAAAGCAGATTGTTTGTCTGGAAAAGATGAGGTCCCTCTACCAGCCATGTTTTTGATCAATCTCCCATCTGTAAAGTGTGGAACAGGCGCAGTGTTTTGACTTTGAGCTTGCTGCCTCTTCTGACCGTTTGTGGTATGAGCCATGAGTGATCTGTAACATCACCTTATGAGAAAGCTGGTGAACATTTCTGCACTAAAGGTGTAAGCGGGGGTGGGGGGAATTGTGTGGTTGATGCTAGATGTTTTAAATTTTGATAGTCACCTGGAACTAACCTGTTTGAAGTATAGTGGAATTGGATGTAGTGGTTCTCTCCACATCTTAGATTAAATTCTGGATCCCTCTCTCTCAATAGGCAGTCATGATTCACAAACTGGTCCAAATAAACAAGGGCGCATAAAAGGAGCCTACTATTTTTTTCTTCTTCAAGCAGTGCCTAGCCTTACTTTCAGAAATGAGCTTGAATATGTGGTTTCTGCTTCCTGAGTTCACAATGCTGGATCTGCAATACATTGTAGATTCTTATCCCTTTCCCAGGACCAGATCCACACATTTTATTTCCTCTGTACGATATACCAGCATCTCCTCATCTCTCATTTTAAGGGGCTATCTGGAACCCCTTATATCAGGAGATATCTTAAAAAGGCAAAACTATCTAAATTTAATGTTCAGCTGAGTTTTGCAATCTGGGTCAAAACAATGGGAAAAAGTGGAATCTTATATTGGGGCAGGGATGGCCTGTTAAATCTTGTGAGCTGTACAATACAGTTCTAGCTGTGCCATAGATGTTTTGCTCACAATGTCTGTTTCATTTGAAATGGTAAAAAACTGGATTCAAAAGTTTATGAGGGATTGAGCAATGTTATGCCCTCCTCTCTCTCTCCTTCTCTCTCCCTCTCCCTCTCCCTCCCTCCCTCTCTCTCTCTCTCTCTCTCTCTCTCTCTCTCTCTCTCTCGTACACACACACACACACACACACACACACACACACACATTCTAGCTATGTGAAAATCCTGGCTGCTAGGCATAGCTAACTTCAAAGGTACTGCTACTAGGCTTCCATTTAAAAAACAGAGAATGCTCCTGAGATTGCAGAGAGCTCTTGAAAAGTATCCCTTCCCAGCAACACTGATCATCTTAAACTGGCCCATACCATGAGCTGAAAGCATCCTTCCAGATGATTCTGCAGAGTTCTGTGGCTGCTAAATTGTATTCCACAACTTGCCTCCATCAAAAGTAAACCAAGGACTCTTGTTACAAAAGGAAACAGCCCTGTTCTGCAGCAATTGTCTGTCTTTGCTTCTGCCCTCCCTTGCTTCCCTCACCCTGCTCCCATTTTCCTGTTTTCTCCAAAGAAGGGAAGGGGGAAAAGGATTTTGCCCATCCATTCCAAGTGGATTTCTTCTCCCCACTGTGGAATTTCCAGGAGGGGTGGAGGGAGAGAGAGAGAGAGAGAGCATATATTGCATTGTTTTGGAATTAGCAAGTTCTGTGAACTTTTGTGTGAAGTTATTAGAAAACTGGAAAATGAATTTTCTTCTCAACAGTTTTCAGCTTCGATCAATAGTAGCTGTTGGCTTTGAGAATCTTGCTTTTCTTCTTTGCAGGTACAATGTGTGCATTATGGCTTACGGACAGACTGGAAGTGGGAAAACACACACAATGTTGGGTCCACAGTCTGAGAGTAATTTCACTTTCTCCATGGAAGACGAGCAAGGTTTAGGAATCATTCCTAGAGCTAGTGAAGAAGTATTCAGGTATGGATGACAGCAGATGACAGTGTTATATTTATTTATTTCATCTGTTTAGTCCATTTAGTATCTTCCTCTCAATTCAGAGTTTCTCAATGTGCAGTACAGCAGTTGCAGCCGGGGAGACGAGAAGCAGAAAAAAGCTAAATGCAGTCTTAATAGGTTCATCTATCACACAGAGTGTTCCACAACTTCAGGACCATTATGGAGGATTCCTGCTCTCCTGTGGTCACCAACCCAATGACTGGTGGATCTCAGTACTCTGAGTAATCCATGGAATGGAAAGACAAAAAGGGTGGGACTTCATTTCCTGTGGCTTTTAATTTTAAATAATTATGAAAGCCCATTTAGAAAATGCCAGAATAGACATTTAAGCCAATCATCAATCTGCACAGATAAATCAGTTGACGGCAAATTCTTTCTATTTTCAGTGTACAAAATTAATTACAATTCTTATTTCAGAGTATTTCTGCACAAGCCCATCTCTGTTGCAATGTCTGATATTTCCCCTCCTTCCTCATTGTTCTTTGTGGTTCTCAGTCAGGGCTTTGTGCATTTACTGTACATATGTTCTTCCTTCTCTTACAATTATGAGGCTGTTCTTTGAATTTTGGGGGCAGGCTTATTTAAAAAATAAAAAAGCCATATGTGCACACAGGAAGCTGCATGCCCCTTCAGATATAGCCAGAAGCATGCAGGATTACTGGCAGTTAAAATGGAAATCAGTTTATGTCACTGAGGCCTGGTGAATCACGGCATTTGTGCATAAATAGGCTGAAATGTATGTTGAAAAGATAATGAGTTGCATCCAGAGATCCACCAACAGAATAAATTTTGGTAGTTGTGCTGTGCTGTAAACTATTGCACAAGAGCTAGTAGAAGACTTTGCACAACACAGACTTAGCTCAAGCATACAACTTGAGCTCTTGTGCAAGAGATTGCACAATACCTGGTTGCTAACAGACCCCGTATAAAACTTTACACTAGTATACACCTTGAGAAAACCCCTTCTGCTCGAGCCAGTGTGGTGTAGTGGTTAAGAGTGATAGATTCGTAATCTGGGGAACCGGGTTCGCATCTCCGCTCCTCCACATGCAGCTGCTGGGTGACCTTGGGCCAGTCACACTTCTTTGAAGTCTCTCAGCCCCACTCACCTCACAGAGTGTTTGTTGTGGGGGAGGAAGGGAAAGGAGAATGTTAGCCACTTTGAGACTCCTTTGGGTAGTGATAAAGCGGGATATCAAATCCAAACTCCTCTTCTTCTTCTATTTCACTTACAAAAGGGCATGTTTGGATCCAACCCAATATGTTCTGATCAAAGTGAAGGTAACTGGTATCAAAAATCAGATTAACTGGACAGATTACAGCAAATTACATGGGCTACTGGTACTATAAAATACCATGCAAAAATTGGTTAGTGTAAATATAACCAGATTTATCCTCACAGGATCCCTAAGAATGGTTTATTCTTGGTAATAAGTTCATTGTGAATATTCCCTCCTGGTTGTCCCATATGTGAAATGGAGAAGGGGCAGGAACTGAAAGAACTCTAAGCCACCATACAGTCTGTTGTATGGGCAAACAAGTAAAGTCTGTGGCACAGAAAGGTTTCGTTACACATCTAGTGGTTGTTTGAATTTTTAAATGGCGTTTAGAGACACGGAGCTGTATTCCAAATAAGTTCTAATTGGAGTAGACCCTTTGAAATTAGTGGACCTAAGTGAGCCATGTCCATTAAGTGGGTCTACTCTGAGTATGACCAACATGGGATACAGCCCATAATATTCTATGTTTTCAATCCCTTGCACATGTGCAGTAAGGCCTGCCTCTTTTACATCCATGTGCACCTAGGATGGATTTCCCGTACACAGGACAGTGCAACTTTGCTTGTCATCTGTTGCTTCACTGCCTGCAGTAGCCTGATGACCCACCAATACCATTTGGAAATGGCTGAGAACAGCGGCGGAGGAAGGGGGTGCGGTCCACCCCGAGTGTCACCACTGAAGGGGGGGCCGGGTAGCACTCACCGTGGGGCCTGCAGCATGCCCAAGCCACTCGTCTCTCCTGAGAGAGAGGTGGCTTGGATGCACACAGGCTCTATGCTGCCCAAATGGTCCGCCCGCTGCCTTCCCTCCAGCTGTAGGGCGGCTGAGTGGAAGGAGGCAGGCAGACTCCAGAGGTCCTGCAGTGCACCCTGCCCCTATGGGCGGCTCACCCCGCCCCTGGGTGTGCCACCCCTGGCACCCAAACAGCTTCTTCCGCCGCTGGCTGGGAATGTAAACATTAAAGATCTTGCAGTCGTCATTGGCATTGCTAATTTCATCAACAAATCTCTTTTCCTTTTCAAGTTCTACTTTTTGCACAGATATTGCAACTGTGGAGCCTGTGCAACTGAAGCGAATTGTCAACAGAGTTGTCCCAGCATATTGCAGTCGCAGCATAATGGGCTGGGTTTCTCATGCATGCTCATGGTTAGGAAGTTTGGGGTATTTAGATAAGCACTTAAGTCAGGTTTTTAATAGTCCCCTGGATCACAAGCCTAGTTTGTTCAGGGTTTTGTTTCAGTCGCTAAAGCTCTCCCCACTCCTTTTTCAGACTCCTTTCAGAAAAGCCGCTAGGAAGCCATTGGGTTGAGGTTTCTGTCGTGGAAGTATATAATAATGAAGTTTTTGATCTTCTGGCCAAAGACAGCTATGGAAGAATGAGTGGTGTCAAAAGGGACATAATCACAAATAAGGAAGGAAAAAGCGATATCCCACTTCTTACCCATGAGTGAGTACTCTTGTGCATCTATGAGCAAGAAGTCATGCAGCCTGTGTCGGTGACAAAAAATGCTAATCTGTGTAAGATTGTTAAGATCAACTTGCTTTTCATATTCATTTGTTACTCATTAGCATCACTGCAATATGACTTTTTCTGCCCACCCCGTGTGTGTGTGTGTGTGTGTGTGTGTGTGTGTGAAGACATATTTTCTGAATGTCCCCCCACCTGGGGATCTCTTGCCAGCTAATGTTTTTCAGGATTTGGAGTGTCTCAATCTTATTTGCTCTCTAGGCAGGGAGGGGAGGGGGACATATTGTAACTTTGCCTATACTTGGAAATTCATTATAGTTGAAAGCAGGAAAGGGTTTCAGGGTTTTGTTTTGTTTTTTTGCTTTGTAAACAGTTTCAGATGGTAAAATTCCACAGAAAACCATAACTGTTTTTATTCCCAGTGGAAATGTGATTTCCCCCCTCTCTTCTTAAACTCCTGTAGTCACAATACACAACACAAGCATTTCTTATGCTTTTTTTGGGGGGGGGAGGCCTAGAAGGCAGACACAACAGACCTTTTATTTCCTTCATAAACTATAATATACTACACCCACAAAAGAGATAATTTAAGACAGTATTTTTGTCTGTGGGTTTCTCTAACATAAGCAAACCACTCAAGCTTTGTTTATGTGGTTCTGTATTATTGCCAAAAATCCTTGATTAAAAATACACCAAATGTGCTGGAGGGTTGAGCAGACATAATTCCCTCCGTTTGATTTTGTATTCTGCATAAATTGATCACCCCACAGAAAATTGGGGACCACTGAGAATTTTTTTAAATGGCTCTTTCTGCAATCAGGGATCTGAACGTTTCTGAAGTCTAATATTCTGGTTCAGTGGATTTTCTTCATAATGTTTATACCCAAGGACAAAAAGTTTAGGATTCAGTGTAATAAAAACCAATTTTAAAACAATAAATTCATGATTTATTTGGAAGGAGAAAGGGGAAATCAGACTTTGTAGAGTTGGAAGGGACCCCAAGGTAACAGCTGAGCAGACCAAGTTATCACAATATTGAGAAAGCATAAAGGTAAAGATAAAGGTACCCCTGCCCGTACGGGCCAGTCTTGACAGACTCTAGGGTTGTGCGCTCATCTCACTCTATAGGCCGGGAGCCAGCGCTGTCCGCAGACACTTCCGGGTCACGTAGCCAGCGTGACAAGCTGCATCTGGCAAGCCAGCGTAGCACATGGAACGCCGTTTACCTTCCCGCTGGTAAGCGGTCCCTATTTATCTACTTGCACCCGGGGGTGCTTTCAAACTGCTAGGTTGGCAGGCGCTGGGACCGAACGACGGGAGCGCACCCCACCGCGGGGATTCAAACCGCTGACCATGCGATCGGCAAGTCCTAGGCGCTGAGGTTTTACCCACAGTGCCACCCGCGTCCCCTGTTGAGAAAGCATAGCTGTTGTCATCAACTAATACCATAATTTCTAGTGCCTGGTCACATGTTACATTTTTCCTTCTTGGTTTGCTCTGCCAAGAGATAACTCTTACATTTATTTCTTATTGGCTGAAAGGGTCTGACTTGGTTTGAATGATCATATTTTGGCTTATTAAAGTGAGATCTGCTCAACCCTTTGGTTATGCATGGAGCCCCTTCACTCAAGCCATGTTTAAACCAAGAACCCTCTAATCAACCAAAGCATGGCTACCTACTTTGGAAAAAGGCAGGTTATTATATCAACTTCAAGCTGTGGTTTAATATTTTAGTTTGTTCTGAAGCTGGGAACCATCATTTCCTAATTAAGATGAAACAGGAAACTGGTTAATTAGAGGCTTTCTGATCTAATCTGGTTCCTGGCAAAGGGAATAGTTCAAAAGCTCCTCTTGCATATCTCAGCTAAATAAGCTAAGATATGGTCATCCAAACATGGTCAGTGGCTAAGCAGTGACTACAGAATTCACTAAAAGAATCTATACAGTGACTGTAGCCTATATTTTGTGTATTATGAGGAAAGATGGCAGTTGCCATTTGATAAAACTAATTTACCAAAGTAATAGATTCCCAAAGTCTTACTTATCATCTTTCTCACCAAATTGACCTACCCCAGTTCCACACAGCCATAGGTCAATTAACTAAAGTATTCAACTTCTGTGATCCTCCTACAATCCATTGCCCATGCTTTCTCTCCAAGAAAGTTATGTCTTGTATTTGAAATCTTGAGGCCTGTAGTATCACTCTTGAGTCATCCTTGTCCTGCGATTTAGCGAGGGAGAAATCTGCTGCAAGCTGGAATATGTGTCATGTGGTAGAAAACTGGCAAGCATAAGATCTCCTTTTTCTTCCCATTGTTTGGGAGGCTTTGCTTTTATTGCAGTTTTTTATTATGCAGTTTTTAGAAATTTCAGGGAAGAAAAAGCTCCTTTTATAGAAACGTTTATGTGTCCAAGACTCACTCGCTCGCTCTATATATATATACACCATCCTGCTAGATGTATAAAAAATGTGTCTTAAATTCAGTGCATTTAGGGAAAACATTAATAAACACATAATATTAAGTATTTATACAAAAAAGCTGGAAAATGAAAGACAAATCAAAACAAAATAAGGGAACCATGGTGATTGGCCACCCTTACTCTAAAGAGTCGAAAGTAAGTTATGGGGGTTTTGAGTAGTGTTTCATCTATAGCCAAGGAAGAATGGTTGTGCTTTTCCTTCGGAGACATTGCACGCTGGGAGTTTGTTCTTGAAACCTTCTGGCACATAGGCTACCGTATTGGTTACATTCTCCTAACCTGATTATAGAAATAGCATGTTGATATCCAGTGGGAACCAAAGGTGCTCTTTGGGTTTTTTGGCTATGCAAAGCAGGTGGGTGCTTTTCTTTGCGTTTAGCCTTTGAGTACATTCCCTCTGAGCGAGCATTTGCCACCATGGTGAAAGGGAGCTGCCTTTGAAATAAGAGCCAGTTCTTTCTTTTATAGATTGAGCAATCTGTAATACCGGTTAAGGGGTATTGAGTCCCATTTGACTCCCATGTGAACCCAGAATGTAACTCCTAAGAAACTAAACTTGCAGCCGTCTCCCACCCCATGTGGCAGATGCTTTTCATGCTGTCTTCAATCTGCTGATTTTGCATGCAGGCAACTGTATACAGCACCCTTAAACTGAAGTGTCTGAGAGTTGAGGGGAGAGGTACCTCCTCCTCCAGAAATGAAAATAGGACACTGACTTCCTCAGAGGAGGGTCTTCCTTCCATCTTCCTTCCCTTGAGAAAAAATGAAATTCTGTTAAAAACATAGAATTTCTCTTTCTAAATGTTGGTGTGCTGTCAGTTTCTCAATGACATTTCTTCCTTCTTGGGTATTATTAGGTATTCAGATGATATTTTGGACATATGAATAGCTAAGTCTCACTACATAGGTAAAAAATAGAATAATTCCTTCCAGTAGCACCTTAGAGACCAACTAAGTTTGTTATTGGTATGAGCTTTCATGTGCATGCACACTTCTTCAGATACCATGCACACGAAAGCTCATACCAATAATAAACTTAGTTGGTCTCTAAGGTGCTACTGGAAGGAATTATTCTATTTTGTTTCGACTATGGCAGACCAATACGACTGCCTACCTGTAACTAGTACTTAGGAAAAATTAGTTTAGAAAACAAATCTAACTAGGGCGAAGTCAGAAAAAGTGATGAGAAAAATCTGACCAGTTTTATTTGGGTTGGCATCCATGACAGAAGAGTGATGCTCTCTCCAGACTGAGATGCTAGTTTGTAGCTGGCAACACATCATACAAGTTTATCTTTTTTTAACAGCCGACAGTCTCCATATAATTAGGTTGTTTCACAATTCCTGTTAAACCCTGCATTTCAGTTGCAGGTGCTGTGCATAATTCAAAGCAGGGAGGAAACAAGATGAACCACGCACTGCAATTGTTTTCGCATGTTTAGCGACGTCTGTTTCACCTTTAATCTCTCTCTGTGCCAGGTTCCCAGGACGAACAAAAATCCCGAGATTTCTTTTGAATACATACATTCATTCATCTTAGATGCAGAAATGGTTTTTTTGCGTGGCATGTGCTTCCTTTTGAGCTTCTCAGATCTGGATTTCCTCGTCCTTGGTTAAATTGAATGAATACTGTTGTAGGAATGTTCTCAGAATTTGTGTTGCAAAAGATGGTTCCACTGTTATTAATCTAAATCACAGTTGTACAAAACTATAGTGTCTTGATGGACAATGAAAGTATTCAAGATTGACACCTAAAACTGTCAAAATGTTATTCATAGTTACCCAGATGTTGTTTATCATTGAACATGATTGTTACAATTTACATCAAAGCATCAAGGTATAAAATTGACCCCTGTATCTTAATAACTTAGTTGTTTTACAAATGCACCATATAAAACATGCAGTTTTAGTACAGATGCTTTAGGTGGTGGTGGGGAAATGGAAACAATATTTAGGACAATATGAGACTCCTGGGGAAATGAGCACATCTGTACTCATGCTTAATTGCAGCATTTTTTAAAATCCTGCAAAAATGTTTTGTTTTGTAAGGCCTGTTGAAGATGCTGTGGAGTTTTTGGAACTAGTTAATAAGGGCTTACAACTGAGAGTCAAACACCCGACACTTGTCCACGCTCATTCCTCTCGTTCTCATCTTGTGATAACCTTGACAGTAACCACAATGGCTGACTCAGAGGATAACTTGGGTAAGTTGCCTGTTTCTTGAATACCTCTAGGATTGTCATGGAAGCCACTACCGATACAAAGTATTTGCTTTGCTTTTACTTCATATCTAGCCTTTAAAGCAGATCAGAAATGTAATTGGCTAGTCTGCTTTAATGCTGACATTGAATTCCAAGCTGCAACTCGCTGCAACCATTTCCTATTATTTAAATTCAAGCTGGAGAAAAACCTGAGAGCCACTGGCTAGGAGAAATTCTGGGACTAACATGTGGGTGCTCCTTCCTAGCTATACACACATTGTATAGTGTACATCTTATGACTCCTGCTTTTCCAGTTTTAAGTTAGGTTTATTAAATTTATACCCCTCCTCTTCTTGTCAAAGGCCTAGACAGCTCATTTCTATAGAATTCCATCACAAAAATGGAACTATAATAAAATAATATTATAAACTGTTATAATTACTGGATCCACCCTTAGTCCTAACCCAGAAACTGAACTGAACAGATTCCCCACCCCTCCTGCATGTCTTACTTTGCTTCTGCAGGGTCAGAAATAAACTTTTCTCATTATTTTTCTTTCCTTCACCCAGCAACTCCCTGGGCAGGTGACCGTTCGAGTCCAAAGATGGGTAGAAAACATTTCCTCACTTCTCCTTGCTCAGTGAAAGATGACAAGCCCTCCTTTCCTTCTAGAGCTTCTTCTCCGACGCTGTTTTTCAATGAATCTACAGAAAAACTTAAGCGAATGAGAACGAAACTGCAGCTGGTGGATTTGGCTGGCAGTGAATGTGCTGGTAAAGTAACCTTTGGGACAAAACATTTTCACGCTTGTGAAGGTGGAAACCTACCTTGGGATCGGTTTGCATTGAGTAAATTTAGCTAGTGCATGTAGAAGCTGTGGACAACATGTTCCGCTCCAAGGACCACATCTGAAATGGATCTGGTTAAACTGTTAATGGCAGGCTGTGTGCCTGTTCGAGTGTGGACTGGTTACTTGAGATCCATAAAGTGCTTAGCCTGCAAATAACAGCTGCAGAGCTCCCAAGTGGGGCTCCTAAACTTTATTAACATACCTTCAAGGTTTTGTTTAGTTACAATCTTTCTGATCTTTTGCTAAATTATCGTTGTGTTTTGGTGCATCCCATATCTAACCAGAGTCATCCATTTGCCTTTTAACTCCCCTCTTCCATTTTTCCTAGAATCCATCCTCTTTCCTGATCTTTAAAAGCTGGTCTGGGTAGAGGCCCTAGTACCAAATATTCCTTGAGTGCTCCCCACCCCTCCTAAATTGAGTATTTAGTTAGTAATTTACCAAATACCAGTGACATGTTGCATGAAAATTTGTAGCAGTTTCCGTCTCTAGAGGAAGTGTTTTGTATTCAAACCATAAAGGGGGAAATACTCAATTTTTAGGATTCTCCATGGACTTCAAGGCGTCTTTGAAGCTTTGCCCCCAACACCAATAAACTAATTGGCACTGAAATCACTTATTCAGAAGATGTTGCTCTTAGCACTGTTCAACTGACAGGTGTCAGTCACCTGATATCATTATGGCATCAGGTGATGGGTGCAACCACACACCTGTCAGATTTGATCCTCAGGGCACTTAAGTATCTGGCCCACAGACAGATTCACAGACAGATTCCTCACTTTTGACTTTCAGGCATCTTTCAAAAACTTTCTAGTGCCAAGAGGCCTTAGCAGTTGTTGTTGTTGTTTAAAAAAGAGTAGCCATTAATTTTAATTTTTGAACGGTATTGCATCAAACTGTTGTTTTGCGTAAATTTAAGGCCCAGCTCCTGACCGTCACTGATCTTGGAGCATTAGCAAAGGGGGCACTCGGTGACATAGCTGTTAAGAGGGGCCTGAATTCCCCAGTTCCTCTCCTACCTTGATGCACAGTCACAGTTCAGCACAAAGTTTGTTCAGGCTGCTGCTTAATAGGTATTACCTTTCTGGTGCTAAACCACCTAGGAATGCCCGCAATTTAAAGCCCACAAATGATTTAAATACATCAAATATTTGTCCAGATCAACGTAATTCAGTGTGGCTTCTTCAGCCTCCTTATGAAAAACAATACCAGGAGGGATGTTGATGCATCCTGTAAGCAATTTCCTGTTTTCTTTGGCTCCCTCCCCCCTCCCCCCATGCTTTCTTCCTCTTCAAACGCAGTCCTTTCAGAAACCTGATTATTTATTTCCTAAAGGACAAGCTTCCTTACCAAGAAAAGCTTCTCAGTCAAATGCAACATTCCAGAAATAATGTTTTGAAAACTGAACCTATGTTATGAAAGAGCTCTTTACGTTGCTGCCAAGAGTTCTTTTCACTGGTCACATTAAAAAAACACAAAACTATTAAAAGATACACATATTATTTGTTGTGGGCGTTAAAGCTTTCTTCTACTCCCCCCCCCTTTAGCCAATATATAGTTGAGCAATCCTGTGATGTTTCCACTGCTTCTTGAGGGCAACCATTTGCTGGGCTGTTCTTTCGAAAGACCAGATCTCCAGGTGGCACCACTCGGCATCATTAATGAACTGCAGTGATTATCGCCAATTTGTCTCCGCTAATATTTTACATAATAAATAGGTTAACACCGCAATCCTAAGCATGTTTATTCAAAATTAAATCCATCTGTGTTCAGTGGGATTCACTCCCAAGTAAATGGGTTTAGAATTGTAGCCTAAACTCTGCTCAATTTCCCGAAGAAGACATTTTTTTGCTTGGATAAAATCACATCAGCTTTTTCATTTAGACTACAGTGGTACCTCGGGTTAAGAACTTAATTCATTCTGGAGGTCCGATCTTAACCTGAAACTGTTCTTAACCTGAGGTACCACTTTAGCTAATGGGGTCTCCCGCTGCCGCCGCACCAATGCCATGCAATTTCTGTTCTCATCCTGAAGTAAAGTTCTTAACCTGAGGTACTATTTCAGGGTTAGTGGAGTCTGTAACCTGAAGTGTCTGTAACCCGAGGTACCACTGTATTTAATTTTAATGTGTCATCATCCTCAACTTCTGAGACTGGTATATATGTCTTATCAGAGTCAACATTGGTTTATTATTTATTTAAGATGTATACATGACGCTTTTCAGGTGAACGTCACAAGGCGACTTACAAAAAAGCGTTTAAAAATATTAATTAAAACATAATAAAACAGCCAAAAAAATGCAATGACTACAAAAGCTTTTTTTAAATACAGAAGGGAAAGCTTATTAATTTGTAGTGTATTTTTTGAAAGCTAGATCTCCTCCTTCAGTAGGGGAAGGAAAGACCTCGGCAGAAACACTATAAGCTAGATCAGGCTTCCTCAAATCCGTCCCTCCAGATGTTTTTGGCTTACAACTCCCACGATCCCTAGCTAGCAGGACCAGTGGTCAGGGATGATGGGAATTGTAGTCTCAAAACATCTGGAGGGCCGAATTTGAGGAAGTCTGAGCTAGATGGTGAGCGGCTCTCTAAGCATGTCTGTCTTTTCTTTCCATAGCTGTAATTCCTCCCCTCAGGAAAAATGGTCCTCGGGTATCCCTGTAGGTTGTGGGAGGGAAAGGTCAATTCAGCTGAAACAGGTTTTGTTTTATTTTAAGTGGGTTTGTCCCATGTTGTCAGTGCCAACTTTCACCCCTTGTGAATGTATTAAAATAAAATGAAGTTGACCTGGTAGAATCACTTCAAAAAATAATGAGAACCTCTGTATGAGAAGTGTACTGTATATCCAGGTGTCTGGAAGCATGGAGTTGTGCTTGTTCTCACTGCTCTGTTTTCTTTTCCTGTGCACTAGGCATGTCTGGTGTGACCGGGTCAGTCCTGAGAGAGACATCCTTCATTAACCGCAGCTTGTCTGCTTTGGCTGATGTGCTTGGAGCCATATCAGAACAGCGCTCTCATGTGCCATATCGAAACAGCAAACTTACCCATTTACTTCAGGATTCCATAGGTGAGGAGAGCTGGCTTTAATAACTCCTGCGTTCAGCCTTTCTTCCATTCAGTTTGAAATTCATCTGTGTGAGATATTTATCACCTTGATCTTAAATTCAAGAAACCCAGATGGTGATAAAACAGGATGCTGAGTCAGAAGTCTTCTGGCTTTGGGGTGTGCTTTCCTCCCTGCTTAAGCATGACTCTCCAAACTTTGGCAGCTATGCAGCAAGCATGCATTCACCAGGTAAAGATTTGTCCACCACTGCATTGCATTGGTGAGGAAAGCTGCACCTGTTGAAGGTTTACCTGTTTGGTACCTACTAAAGACATGGAAGCCTTTCCACACATGCCAAAAATTAGCATATGCATATTCTATCTATTTGGCTGTTTCTTTATCTTGTGCACAAGCCCTTAATTAGGCCAAAGAACTTGAACTGAGAAAAGGACTGAAGTAACTATACTCAGGTTGAAACAAGCCCAAAACAGTGCTTGTGTGAACTGAGATGTGCATGTGTAACCACCTTTCATTACTAGGCATACATGTTTTTCTATCCTGCTCCTGGAACATGTGAAATTATGAATAAATTTATAATTTCATGAGATGAGAACACAATGAAAAGTGTCCTCTCAAATTTAAAATGTGATTATCAGGAAACCTGGGTTCACTCAAACTTTTGAAAGAGTGTCGCCTTTGGCATTTTCCTTAAATCCAGCAAAGTTCTTTATTTAACTTTATACTTAAGCTGCTATTTCCCCTGCCCACACCATTTGTGGGACCAGCCTTATTAAAAGACACAACCCAGCAATTTCCACTAGGTCTACGGCTTCCATTACGAGGCCCCTGGAATTTAATCTTTGCACTCTGATTCGAAGGTGTACAATTTTCTCACAAACCTTACTATCTCTTCTGCCAACACTCCCCTGCAGATGCAGACACCTACAAATACAGTCATATAGATATGAAAGAGCTGCCTTTGTTTCTGCATACGCCAATATTGTTCTGCCCCTGGAATCTTCTTCCTCGAAGGCAGTCATTTTCTGTGCATGCCATTGTGGCTGGCCTGCTAGCCATTTCAGTCATCTTCCAGCTAAATATAAATATGTCTTTGGGGACAATGCTTTGCCTTGTGAAATGGACAAGATCCACTCTGGTTAGCATTTTGCAATTTATTGGAAAAAAATCTGTGAATATGTATGTTTTGTTTGTTCTTCTTAGGGGGCAATGCGAAGTTGCTGGTGGTGCTGTGTGTCTCCCCCAGCCAAAAGTATATCACAGAGTCACTGCAAACCCTGGGTTTCGGATCTCGCGCACGGCAAGTTCAGAGAGGGCACACAAAGAAAAGAAACCAACCAGCGCTGAGCAAGTCCAAATAAGAAACACGACTCCTGTGGATTGAAGCATTATTAATGAGTTCCTCAGACTGAAATGTATCTTGTTGTCATAAAGCTGAAAACTGCCAGTTAAAATAAGCACTCCATATTGGCAAGCCCTAAAATTGCTTGGCAGTGTGTCTTTGTTCCAAGAATAATTGCATGAGTTAACAAACAGCTACCACTAAGGATAGATGAGCATGTCTATCATTCCTTTTTGGGAGAGCAGTGGGATGATAATGTTTTACAAGGCAAATCATTTTGGAATAGCAAAACAAGGGCAGAACCCCCCACTTAGTGCTGCTAGCTAACAAAGCAGAGCGACAGGAGAATGCCAGACACATTGCAGTGCACAGTGGGTAGCATCTACCATGAAGAATTCAATCAGGCTAGCTGCTACAACCCCTAGATCACTTCCCGTTTGGACCCCAAATGTATATATGTGAAGTTAGGATTTTTTGTCCCTGTGTACAACGCTTGACAATTGCTTATTCTGAATCACACCTGCCATTCTAATTACAATTCACCCAGGTTGGAGCTATCCTTTTGGAGCTCCTCACAATCTCTTTTTTAATAATAATAATAATAATAATAATAATAATAATAATAATAATCTATTATTTATACCCCACCCATCTGGCTGGCTTCCCCAGCCACTCTGGGCGGCTTCCAAAAGAATATTAAAATACTATAATACATCAAACATTAAAAGCTCCCGGAAACAGGGCTGCCTTCAGATGTCTTCTAAAAGCCTGGTAGTTGTTGTTCTCTTTGACATCTGGTGCGAGGGTGTTCCACAGAGAAGGCGCCACTACCGAGAAGGCCCTCTGCCTGGTTCCCTGTAACTTGGCCTCTCGCAGTGAGGGAACCGCCAGAAGGCCCTCGGTGCTGGACCTCAGTGTCCGGGTAGAATGATGGGGGTGGAGACGCTCCTTCAGATATACTGGACCAAGGCCGTTTAGGGCTTTAAAGGTCAGCACCAACACTTTGAATTGTGCTCGGAAACGTACTGGGAGCCAATGTAGGTCTTTCAAGACCGGTGTTATGTGGTCTCTGCGGCCGCTCCCAGTCACCAGTCTAGCTGCCGCGTTCTGGATTAGTTGTAGTTTCCGGGTCACCTTCAAAGGTAGCCCCATGCAGAGCGCATTGCAGTAATCCAAGCGGGAGATAACCAGAGCATGCACCACTCTGGCGAGGCAGTCCGCAGGCAGATAGGGTCTCAGCCTGCGTACCAGATGGAGCTGGTAAACAGCTGCCCTGGACACAGATTTGACCTGTGCCTCCATGGACAGCTGTGAGTCCAAAATGACTCCCAGGCTGCGCACCTGGTCCTTCAGGGGCACAGTTACCCCATTCAGGACCAGGGAATCCTCCACACCTGCCCGCCTGCTGTCCCCCAAAAACAGTACTTCTGTCTTGTCAGGATTCAACCTCAATCTGTTAGCCGCCATCCAACCTCCAACCGCCTCCAGGCACTCACACAGGACCTTCACTGCCTTCACTGGTTCTGATTTGAAAGAGAGGTAGAGCTGGGTATCATCCGCATACTGATGAACACCCAGCCCAAATCCCCTGATGATCTCTCCCAGCGGCTTCATGTAGATGTTGAAAAGCATGGGGGAGAGGACAGAACCCTGAGGCACCCCACAAGTGAGAGCCCAGGGGTCTGAACACTCATCCCCCACCACCCCACTTTCTGAACACGGCCCAGGAGGAAGGAGCGGAACCACTGTATAACAGTGCCCCCAGCTCCCAGCCCCTCAAGACGGTCCAGAAGGATGTTATGGTCGATGGTATCAAACACCGCTGAGAGATCCAGCAGAACTAGGAAACAGCTCTCACTTTTGTCCCTAGCCTGCCGGAGATCATCAACCAGTGCGACCAAGGCAGTTTCAGTCCCATGATGAGGCCTGAATCCTGACTGGAAGGGATCCAAGTGGTCCGCTTCTTCCAGGCGTGCCTGGAGTTGTTCAGCAACCACTCGCTCAAGCACCTTGCCCACCTTAACCACCCCAAACAGTTTGATATTACCAGCAAACTTGGCTACTTCACTGCTCACTGCCAACATAAGTAAGGAAATCTGTTGTGTAATTTCCCTTGGCAGTGAGCACAGGGGAGTAAACATTTGCTTGGATATTTTTATTAAGGAGAAAACACTTAATTAAAATTCAGCTTCAGAAGAGAGAATATTCCTGCTCAGAGCTTTACAACATACCAGGGTCTCAAGTGATTTTAAAAAATATTTTGGTCACAAAATAAATTGGCTGTAATTTCCTCATGTCTAATTTCCTTAATCTGATTTAAGGATACTTTGACATCTTGGATAATAAGGACATTGTTTCTGAGTTGCCACAAGGGGCTAGTCCAGGGATGAGGAAACTCAGGCCCCTCCAGACCTCGCTGTATGACCTCTGGGAGGTTTCCCAGGTCATGTTTTTTGTTTGCTTGCTTGCTTAAATTTTTATCGTGCCCTTCTTCCAAGAATCACAGGGTAGTTTACAATATAAAAACACAAAAATACATAGTATAGTAGTCAGCAAAAACAATAACAACCACACCACCTTTTAGTGTGTGTGTGTGTGTTTGCCTGCCTGTAACATGTCCTTGAACTCTTGCTTTTCTGTAAGAAAGATGGGAGTCTGCATGGAAACCTCTGACTGCTTTTGTGTAGTTGTAATGTAGCCTACTGTGCAAAGGTAAAGGTCACATCCATTGTTATGTCCACTTTTGCATCTGGCTCTTCCCACCACTGTTATGTGGTTCCCTACCCCTGGATTAGTCCATATCACATGTCACTTCTCTCCATATGGAGTCACATGGACAAAAATAAATGATGTTGGCCATATATGACCATCTGATTCACAGGTTGCATTTGGTGACATGACAGTCGATGAACCAAGGACTGCATCAGTAACCAGAATGTATGAAATTAATCTTTCCATAATCAGAATCGTCATAACTCCATGAGGTTGGTTAGATGAAGGGTGGGGATTGGCCTAAGGCAAGTATCACAACTATACTGTATTTTTCGCTCTATAAGATGCACCAGACCACAAGACGCACCTAGTTTTTGGAGGAAGAAAACAAGAAAAAAAAAATCTGAATCTCAGAAGCCAGACCAGCAAGAGGGATTGCTGCACAGTGAAAGCAGCAGTCCCTCTTGCTGTTTCGGCTTCTGGGATAGCTGCGCAGCCTGCATTCGCTCCATAAGATGCACACACATTTCCCCTTACTTTTTAGAAGGGAAAAAGTGAGTCTTATAGAGCAAAAAATACGGTATGTGATTTCATTCTCCTTGATCCAAATCTGCCATTCAGTTCACACGGTGCTCAAAGCAGAACATCACCTAATACCATTTTAACATTTCTGTAGCAACTTTCAGCAAGAGAACCACCAAATCCTTCTGTATGTTGGGTTGCACATTTGTGGCAAGGAGAGAATTGGCAGAAATGCAATAAGCTCTCCCGGCCTAAGTACTTTCTGCTGCCATCTTTTCTGCACATGGTGATTTAGAGCATGTGGACAATATGACGGGAGGGAAACAGTACTAAGCAACTTTAAAGATCAAGAGATTCGGTGGTATGTGGTGGGACTTTAATAACATCTCATTTGTTTTATGTTCTGTTTTAATGCTCTATGGAGGCCCATGATTCATTCTTTTAAAAAAATATTTAAAAAACGCCTCAAGTGATCACAACTGCCTCCAGACTTGGGATAGAGGTCATTGGCGGGTCGCTGCAAGGAGACTTAAATTGCAGTTTGCCAACCCAGAAGGCTGGAGCTTATAGCACTCCAAGTCTCTTAACCTTCTTGAGCATAAATATTTACCCAGAAATTTTATAGCATGCTCCAATTGGAATTTCACCCTTCAACATGTACCAGCTGCTGCATTATGCAGGGAGCTGTATGTGGTATGGTCTCTGACCTTTTGGAGTGTTTGAATTGCGGTGACATGAATGTACACCGCAATGTAAGGAATGGCTGCCTACCTCAAATACAAGTATACATGTAAGCATACCTGTAGTCTCAAGAAAGTGTGCAAAGGTTGCCATTTCCCCATAATTCCAATGAACGTAGCATACATAGCACTGAAGAGGAATAGACAACATTTTGGCAGATTCTCTGGATCACAAACAAGCACATTTCGCTACTTAAGAGTTTTTCTTTTTGTCTAATGGTGATAAATGGATTTATCCATTTGACTCCTTTGTTATGCCCTGGGTCGAAAGCATTCCTCCCCTCAGTCTATTTCTAGCCAGTAAGATATTTCAAGAGAAAAGTTTCAAAATATGGGCATTGCCTGCTTAAATCTCAGGAGCGTTATAACTCTCTCATTCACACTCTGGGCTGCTGAAATGCCCACTTTGCTTGTGGTTGCTCCAAGAGATGCAACAACTCTCTAGACCATGTGGCTGTCTCAGGCAGTCTTTGTGTGGCTTTGATGTCTTGGTGTGAACGGCCCAGCTAGGTGTGAGTGAGTGTTTTTTTCTCTCCTCCTTTAGCCCTGCTGATGGTGTACCTATTTTTATCCTGGGATGAAAGGCTTAATCTTTCTTCCACTAGATTATCACCTCCAGCATCTGTTCTGCTTCACTTGCTTCTTCTTACAATGGGACTGGGATACCTACAATCGTCTGCTAGCACTCTGCTGTGTGCAAGATTTCTTCAGAGCGACAATGCAAGCTGCCATTTCTGCCTCTTCTCATCACCGATTCAGCCATTTGCAAAGGAATGCAAAAGGCCAAAATGTGATGTTGGGGGGAAAATGTAGCATCTTGAAAAGTTTGAGCCTCTATTAATAGCTCTTCTGAATGAAATGATGCAGGCAGTGCCTGATGGAATGTCAGAAGTGACAGGACTCCAGGGTTGGTTGGTACTTGTTGTTGTTTAGTCGTGTCCGACTCTTCGTGACCCCATGGACCAGAGCACGCCAGGCACTCCTGTCTTCCACTGCCTCCTGCAGTTTGGTCAGACTCATGTTTGTAGCTTCGAGAACACTATCCAACCATCTCGTCCTCTGTCGTCCCCTTCTCCTTGTGCCCTCCATCTTTCCCAACATTAGGGTCTTTTCCAGGGAGTCTTCTCTTCTCATGAGGTGGCCAAAGTATTGGAGCCTCAGCTTCAC